TGGCTTGGGATTGACTCACTCACACCAGAGGGAGCCTCAGATTTCTCCCATTCAGGCTCAGAAGTCTGCAACTCACCCAGGAGTCTGCACAGACCCATGGTCTCTTTTGTCCACGGTATGGCAGAGTTGCAGTTTGTTCATCCGGTCTACACCAGCTTGCAGCCTGGGGCAGCCGCTTAATAAATGACTGCAGACCTATCCACTGAGTTCTAGTGTAGGCATGTTTTTATTCCTCTTGCAAAAATAACGGAAGCATTTTGGGGATGTCTGCCTGTAAGCACACGGTAACTTTGTAGGAAAATGGTTAACTGTCTTCTAGCATACATTTAGCCCTGCATTTATCCCTTTATCCCTTTACTTATTTTTTAAATTGTTTTCTCTCTCTCTCTCTCTCTCTCTCTCTCTCTCTCTCTCTCTCTCTCTCTTTCTGTAGTCCAGGCCGGCCTTGGGACCCTCCTGCCTCAGCTTCCCCGTGCTGGGATGCAGGTGTGTGCCACTGTGTCCGGCTGTCCCTCCCTCTGATGTCAAGAGTTCCAGGCTCCCTGCAGCCGTCTGGGGCTGGCTAGGAAGTGTCAGGCCACTTTTCTTCTGAACAACAGCAACAAGTACACACTGACTTCTTGCTACACATGGCCCAAGCCGCGCTCACACAGTCCCTGCCCAGGGTCTCCCCAGGCCCGCGGTCATCCCAGAAGGGTGGTGGTGGCCTCCACTTCTCTACCCTGCAGCCCGGAGCCGGCTCCTGCCCCTGCACTGCGCAGGATGCCCTGTGTCCTCCCTGCAGCAAAGCAGCTAGAGGGCCTAGAAGCAGGTTTGCTCAGAGACTGTGGATCCCCTCCTGCACCTCTGGAGAACCGGGCCCAGTGAGGGAAGAGTGAGGTCCTGGCCCAGGAGCCACCCACCACCCCTCGGCCCAGTCCCGCGGCTCATCTTCTGCCCAGGACACACCACACTATCATCTCCCGCCCAGCCAAGCAGCAGAGCCCTGGGGGAGGGCCAGGCCAGGGGGAAGTGTGGGGTGGGGCACGGGAGGAGCTCCACACTCCCAACCATCTGCCCCCAGGCCCGAGGCCGTGCACACACGGGGCAGGGCTCCCACAGCCCTTGGTCAGCCTGTCAAAGCAGCCCCTGAGCCCCACAGCATGCACGCTGCAGGAAGCTGGCGCCCTGGGTGCCCACTCATCGTGGGTCATTCTCACCCCGCACCCACCCTCTGCTCTCTGGGCCAGCCCTGCCTGGTTTGATCGCAATCGTCACGTGCTGCGCTGCACGCTGGGATCTGATTCCAAAACCGGTTTATCCTCTTCTCTAGCTGAGGCCAGGACTGCTGGGGGCCTCCTGTAACTAGGCACTGGCAAGAGACCCCGGGCCAGGTGGTGCGGAGTGGATGCTGCCTGAACACACACCCCTGCATTGTGCCCCCACCCGCAGTGGCTGAAGAAGCAAGTGTGTCACTGAGGCACCCTAAAGGCTCTGCTTGCTGCACCTGAGCAGCTCCTGGCAGCTCCCCAGCGCGGGCGCTCAGGGAAGGTCATGTCTGTTGTCCCCATTTTAGGATCAAACAAAAAGTAAACCTGAGTGTCCCACCCTCCCTGCAGCATCTGCAGGCCCTAAGAGCATGTACCTCTCAGATTCTGTTGTCCCCATGCAGCCCACTTTACGAAGAGTGGCTGAGGTTCGGGAGCACAAGGTCTCAGCAGAGCCAACCAGCACCTGCCTGGAACTGACCTGACTTGTCTCTGCCCCCACCCAGGCCACAGGAAGTCCCTCAGTCATGGGACAAGCCGTGGTGTTGCGTGCCCAGATCCCCATTTCCATAGACTGCAGGGTGGACCACACTCCACCAGAAACTGCTGGGCCTCACCAACAGGGAGCTGCGGCCACCATTCCAGGCCCGGCAGGAAGGCCCAGCCACAAAGGCCTCCATCCAGACAGACGCAGGCGTGGGCAAGCTGCCTGCATGCCAAGGGAAGCCAAATCCAGCAGCACGGGCACACATGTCTGGTAAAACCTTCCATAGGTGCCCAAAGAGAATCATACCTAAGACAAAATGATCACTGCGACACCCACAGAAACTGTGTAGTATTTTCCTCCCAAGATTTAGGAAGACAGCATCGTTCTACGTTGGTAGTCAGTCCTGACTTCTATGAATATTCCTGGTACAAGTTCAGAGTCCTGCGCTGCTACTGCTGGAAAGAAAGAAAAGGCCAAGTGCCTCAGTCTTAGCTTCTAAAATACTGTAGGCGCGTCTCGGCCTTTGGCTAAGATCAAGTGTAAAATACACATGGTAGAGACCATGCCCACCTCTCAAAGGCCACAACCCTCCCACGGGTCACCTGGATGCCACAGCATCTCAGATAACACCTGGCCAACCTCTCATCTCATCCTGCAGGGGACTTCTGCCCCTGCCTCCCCCAGGGGCCAGGCTCTCCAAGGCCCGACCCAGGCCGCAGCGTCTGCAAGGCCATTTCCCTGCTCCTCACCCTGGTCCTTCCCTGGCCAGCGCCGTCAACTGTGGTGCCCGTCCTTTCCTAAAAGACCCCTGCCCCAGACGCAGTGTCACACGGAGAGGTGGCACTGGGCCTGGGCCACCTGAACAGGAGAGGTGGGCTGACCCTCCCCCGCCCACGTGCTCCCCTCGCTCCCCTGGGGTGCTGCTCTGACCTCAGTCTCCAGCAGGACTCCCCCACTCTTGGGGTTCATATCCTCCCCCCAGTAGCACTTCTCAAGTTTAAACCCCACTGCTCCTTTCTCTCTAGCAGCTTGGACAAAGACGCTGTGGCGATGTGGAGGGGAGATGTCAGGGGGGTGTACGCTCACCCGGCCGCACCCCCAACCCCAACCCCGCCAGCTATGCGCAGCCATGCCGCCCACACTGAATGCAGGTGTCCTGAATTCCAGGCCCACGGCTCCACTCGCCAAGGAGCAGCTCCGGGCGCTCCAGGCTGCCCTCTGTGGGCCTGGAGGGGAAGAGAAGGGGACAGAGACAGGGAAGCCAGGCTACTGCCCCAGGGCTGCTTCAAGCAGAGCCCGTCAAGGCCTGTCCTGGTTCAGAGCGGCGAAAGGTGCATCTCCCCCGCAGGCTCAGAGTCTCTGAGGCTCTAGAGAAAAGATCCTTCCGCATTCTGCCTGGGCCTGAGCAGCGCCCCACGCCCCTCCGCAGTTCCACCCAGGAGGCAAAAGCCGCTGCCACTGCCCCTGCTGCCGGGGCTGGGAGCCGCTCTGGAGCCTCACGCACTGGGTTTCCTTAACACACAGCTCAGCAGGGCACAGGCACTTTCCAGGGGACAGAGGAAACTGCAAGGGCGTCCCACCCCTCAGAGGCTGTGGCTGCAGGGCTGGGACCCTCACTCTCCCTGCCCTAGGCTGGAGCTTGTGCTCGTTCTGGCTCAGCCCCGCAGCACCATCACAAATGACAGCCCGGTCAACCCCCACTCGCGGTGCCTGGAAAGCAAAGCCCTGGCTCTGTGCAGAGAGGAAACCCGGGACAGCATCTCTGAGGCAGTGCCTGGAAGCCACCTGTCCAGGTGTCCCCCACCCTGGCCATGCATCCCTCCTCCTGAAGCCACCTGTGCAGGCAGGGGCTCCCCACCGTGCCCCACCTACCATGTCTCCTCTCCGCCGCTGGCTGCAGTGTGGTCTAGGTTCCCGATCCAAGGTCCCCTCGTTCCAGAGCAGCCAGACCCCCATCTTGAGGACAGTGCCCTGCCCAGCCGGCCCAGCCCGGCCCAGCCTCCCTCCCAAGAGGAAGTGGGGGCTCCTTTCACAATAAAAGCCCTGCCCAGCTCAAGGGCAGACTCGGGCCCCCCGTGGGGTGGGTGGGGGCAGGATCAGGGCCCCCACACTCACACTCCAGCCGGACACAGAGCCTGGGAAAGACAAGCCTCTCTTGGCTCCTTTTTCTTGCTTGGACTCAGCTCCCAAGGGCGGTTTGGAAGGAAAAAAATCTGCTGACCGTTTAGGATCATTAACAAGGAGCAGATTCTCTCTGAAGAAGGGATCCTTGTCAGAGTGGCTGGAGTCAGGCGGGCTCACCTCGCTAGGAAGCCCTGGGTCACTTGGGCTTGGTCAGAGCTGCAGGGCTGACTGCCCCTTGGTGGAGAGTGCCTGCTTCCATCCACAGTCCAAAACTGGCCTGCTGGCCTTGCTGCTAACAGCTGCTGGCTTCCAACCAGTCCCTGGGGCTTTCAGGGTCCCATCCTTGGACCTTACGGTTCTTAAGAGCTGCTAGGCAGTGGCTGGGGGTGGGATGGCGTCCGAGGGAGGGTGCCCTGAGAGTCCCGCAAGGCCAGGCTGAAGGCTCCCACGGAGACTGATCGAACAGGAGCCTCCCCATCCATGTGGGGGAAACAGGTCCCCCGCAGCCGCAATCGCATGCCCCAGGAGACCCAGAGGGGCTGACAGGTGTGGGTGAACTTACAGATCCCATAAGCAGAGGGTTTGAGACTATAGAAAGACCCAGGTTGAAAGACGAATTCTGTCCCATTCAGCTGTGTAACCTTAGACAAACGACGTGTCTGCCCTGCCCCGGCCCACCTCTGAGGCATGGGGGCAGTGCCCACCTCAGCAAGGTTGCTAGGGAGTCTCCAATAGACAGCGAATGCAGGAGCTTGACACTGCTAGGTGCTCCGGAAAGACCTCGCTGAGCCTGGCTCAAGAGCACCCCCTTTTCCCTGTACCTAAGAGCAGGCAGGACAGCACAGAAGGGACCCAGGGGCCCAGCCTTCCTCAGGGCGTCAACCACTTCTGCAAGGCAGAAGCTCGTGAGTAGGCGGACCCCTCTCCTAAGATCTAAAGACACACTTGGTCACAGGAACCCTGAGTTCCAGCATCATGGACAGTGGTCCCCTCAGAAGGGACAGGAAGAAAAATGTACTGCGCTTCCCTGTCAGCAGGCAGACTCCACACATACAAGCTAACAGCAGGCTGAGAGTGCCACAGACCTGCAATGGACGCGTCCTCTGGGACGCGCCTGGGCCCTGACGCAAGCTCCTCCCCGGCTGACACCTTTGTCTTAGTCTCATGGTGTTGACATGGATCTAAGAAAAGCCCAGGACTGTGTGCACGGTGGCTCCCCCCTGCTCCCCACCAAGAAATGACTATGTGCCATCCACAGCCCCTGGTCTCCACAGCCACACTCTCTTTCCATGGCGTCTCCCACAGCCACTCAGGAGAGAAGGCCCAATGAAGCCCCTGCTGCACTGACTGATGGCCACTGACCTTTCCACGTGGCACGGAACCTCTTCCACCACACGTGTCCCCTTCCCCAGAGCCCTGTGTGTTGAAAGGCCTGGTCTCCAGGGTGCCTCCAGTGGGGAAGTGGGGCCTTTAGGAAGAGGAGCCTAGCGCAGGGGTCCTGGTCATCCAGCACTGCCCTTGCTGTGGCGCATGCCCACGCGTTCTGCCTCCCCACACAGCCAAGGGAAGTTGGACAAACAGGAGCTGGCAGTAAGAAGCGGCCTGCAGCTGCTGCTGCTGCTGCATTCCAGGGTGCAGAGGTCTTTGTAGCTGGTTTACAGAAGGTGCGTGAGGGTGTGGGGAGCTCCTGGCTTTCACCAGAGACATAGCACCCAGCGCCACCCTAACCAGTGAGAGGCTTGGCTCACGTCCTCGGTCTGGAGCCAGCGGCTCCAAGGCACATAGGGCAGGTGGGAGGGCCTGGCGGAGGACAGTTACTCACATCATGGTGAGACAGGAAGCATGAGAGGGAGGAGCCGCAAGCGTGCTCACCCTCCCATCACAGCCAGGAGCCACCTCCAGCCAGGCCACACCCCTAACAGGAAGCAGCTTGGACCCCAGGCTCCAATCACTCTCCACACACAGGAGGCTCTGGGGCCCACTGAGAGCACAGCAGCAGTGCAGGCTGGAGAGAGCCTGGAGGGCTGGGAGCACAGCAAGCAGACCTCAGTGCGGTGGCAGCAGAGCACACTGATGAAGCGTGGACAGCAGCGGTCACACCAGGAAGGTTCCAGGTGGGAGGGAGTACTCTGGAGACTGGAACGGCGGCACCCTTGCTGCATGGTGGCAGAGACCGTGTGTGCATTTTTGTCCAAGTCCTGGTGCTGAGCTGAAAGGGGATGGACTAGATGGGTTGGCAGAGGACATGTCAAGGCAGCGAAGCATCAGGCCGTCACGGGGTCCTGCTCACTGCTGTTATGGAGTGAACTTACAGGAAGAATCAGAAGTGAAAACTGGGACAGAAGAAAACGCTGAGGAGGGTGGCCAGATAGCGATAGCTCGGCGTATTAAAGCGCCTGCTAGGCAGAGTGCAGCAGCCAGGTGTCCGGGCAGCCACCTGGACAGGACTGGGGACTAGCTTGCTCCTACCTTTTCTCTGTCCCTCTCTCCAGGCCACTCAGCTCTGCCTCCCGGCCACCGTAGTGTGGCTTTGCTCTGCCGCAGCCCTTTGCCATGACATGTCCCCCTGGAGTCAATCATCCATGGACTGAGCCCTGCAAGCTGTGTTGTGTGTGGCAAGCACTCTGCCCCAGCCAGGAGGGCTGGCCAAGGTAATGCATGCTGCTGGTGCAAAGCCTGAAATGAGGGCTGGAGTTACAGCTCTGGTACCAGAATCGTTGAACAATGCTTTTACAAAGGTATCATGGCAGCACATTTCTAAAATACATAACTGTAATGCGTTTGGGCTTGGTTAATCTCAGTCCTGGGAATTTATTTCAAGGAACTCATTCCAAACAAAGGGGGAAACTATGCTCATGTTGTTATCATGGAGATGTTACCTATAACCACTGACCACTGTGGTTAGGATGTGGGTAGTGTCCCCAAAGGTGCATGTTAAACGCTTAGTCCCTGGGGCAGTGCTTTGGGAGGTGGCAGGACCTGGAGGGGTGGAGACCTGAGAGGTCCTTAAGATCATCAGCGTCCTGCCGAAGGGGGGCTGTGGTGCCCCCGTGTCTCCTCTCTGCTCCTAGTCAGAAACACAGGCACCTGCTGCCGCACGCATGCCACCACAGGCCACAGGGTGCTACAGCAGCAATGCCCCTCACTGAAGCTGAAGCACACTCTCCAGGCTTGGAGCCGCTAAGCCTGAGCTAGATGAATTCTCCTCTTTGCAAAGTTAGTGGCCTCAAGTAATTCACTGAAGTAACATAAAGCCAAAAGATATGGTCACAAATGGAAATTTCCTAGTGCACTTCAAAAAAAAATGACTTTCCATCTGACAGTTGGATGACAGAGGTTGGTCTCTAACCTAAAAAGAATCCAGAGTTTGAAGACGGGAACAAAACAGGTATGCCCACTCCCAGCAGTTAGGAACTGCGTACAGAATCGGGAAGGCAGGAAAATGCTTAAGACACCAACGATGAAAGGAAAACAAAGCATGTTTTACATTATGGCTCAATTATGTGGACAGAAGCTAACAATGCACATGGAAAAATGTAAAGGGGTCTGCTGGGGCAGCAAGATTCCATTTCTTCATAAAGTACTTAGAATTAACTTGTACAACACTGTGATAGATTTTTGCCCTATGGTAATACTCATAATACATGCATGAACTTTGAATTATATAAGCTGAAGCTGCAATACCATTGTCATAATCAGATTAAACCAAGATCCAAGTATATTACTTGACATTAATTCAGTGTTTAGCACATCCAAGCTCAGGGCACCTCCTTGGAGTGCTCCCCGCAGGTCCAACCTGCACACACGTCTGTCTGGGCACCATCAGCTTCCGGCCACTGTGGCTGGCCTCTCCCTGCATGGGACAGTGGGGCGCAGGGGCCAGGGAGCAAGACAGGAGTCAGGAGAGAAGCTTCAGGCCTCTGATCACAAAGATCCTAGCTTGGGGTGCAGAGCACCAACAGGGAAGAAGAACAAGGGGGGCCTGTGACGTGCTCACAGGAGTGGATCCTGGGGCCACCCTCGGGGTGTGAATTCAGACCTCTTTCCAAGCCCAGGTGTGATCACCTGCAGACTGCTAACAAAGATAGCCCTTCACCTCCCACTGTAGGAAGAAGATAAACCATGTAAGATCTATAAAACAGCACCTGGTTCATTTCATAGTATTCAATAAATGGTAGTACAACTACAGTTGTTTCTATTATTGATGAGAAAAGGACTTCCCAGACATCTCTGTTCCTTATGATAGGCCCACTGCTCGCATATGGGAAGCATCAACCAGTGTATGTATCTTATACTGCTGAACAAAATACTGCAAGCCCTCAAGTTTAAGGTGGGGTCGTTATTTCAGCTCAGCCCGTAGAGGTTTCAGTCCATAGTTGGCTGGCTCAACGCAGGGAGGCATGGCAAAGGGCCCCAGTGGAGGAGACACTGCTCATGACGTAGCAAGCAACAAGCAGCAGCAGCAGCAGCAGCAGCAGCAAGCCTCCCTTTCCCTTTTATCCCCACCAGTCCAGAAGCCATGCCTTTGGCTGGTGTCATCCACACCTGGAACTATGCTAACCTAATTTAGGTAACCCCAGCATCACACTTCCTACATCCACCTCTGAAAAGCCCGACTTGCGAGAGCATAAAGCTTGGGGGTATTGAGATATAAGCCCTAACATGGGCCTCAATAGTAAAGAGCAGGTTATAGGGGCCGGGGAGATAGCTCAGTAGAGTGTCTGCCTGGCAAGCGCAGGGTCCTGAGTTCAATACCTGGTACGGGGGGAGGGGGGGAGCAGGTTATAGAGCAGGTTATGCTTGCAACTTGTTCTTTCTCATCACCTCTCTGCCTCCAGGGCTCTCCTAA